GTAGCCAGCCCGTGCCCCTTTAAGGGGTCCGGGGCCGGGAGGGGGGCAGACGAGTTTCCCTGGTGTTGGCCAGAGTGGCCACCAGGGGAACCTGGGGAGGGCTAGCCTCCCACTAGTTCGAATTAAGGGGCTACACAGCCCTTAATTCGAACTTGCTAGTTCGAACTAGGCTTAATCCTCGTAAAATGAGGTTTTCCTAGTTCGAACTAAGCGCTCTGCTAGTTCGAATTAAATTCGAACTAGCGGAGCGCTAGTGTAGCATCTATTAAAGTTACTTCGAACTAACGTCCATTATTTCGAACTAACTTTGTAGTGTAGACATACCCTCATAGACTTCCTGCTTCTTAGAAACAAATATTTTTGTAATGTTTTAGCTGTTTGCTCATCAATTCCCACTTTGCAAACCTGATATCTATCTTACATTTTACCTATCCTTATTTCATGTTCTGCTCTATAGACTTTACTTGGGATGGGTTTCCAATTTCTGAAGGATACCCATTTGGCTCCAATAACATCTGCTTTAAAGATAAAAAAGGAAAATGAACATATCCAGTTTTATATCTAAGAAGTACCAGCCAGTCGAGGGTAACTAGGGCCTACCAATATTGCTAATAAATAAGCACTTTTACATCAGTCAGCCAAAGGGCAATTAACTTGTCAGTTTTGCATGGATTATCTGTGTAAGAATATTACGTGTACCTTTGAACATGCATAGTTAAGAAATCCTAAGGATAGCATAAAGGCCAGCTTTTCAAGCCACTCGATTCGTTTTGGTAATCCTGGGGATAAATAGACAGAGCTGGGGTGGGAGGAGGACATGGATGCAGAATAAGATGTCATATTTAAATTCCAGGGAAAAAAAAAAATCAGCATGTACCTGGTTTACACTGTGTTTCTTTCAAGGAAATTCAAAGGCTATAGTTTGCCAGGCTGAAGCAATTATTCTGATATATGAATCTCTCCCTTATTGTTTGGGACCATTTGGGACAAACCTGAATTTTTAGAACTATAAAAAAGCCATAATCTTCTCAAGTAAACAAAATGAGGAAACCAACAAGCTGGAGTGAAACAATTGTGCTAATATACTTCCCAGTTCAGCTTAAGTTTAAAAAACTCACAAGATGTAATAGGGCAGAAGTGTTACATTTAAAATATATAGTGGGGTGATTTTTTTTACTGTGAGAATGTTACAGTATTTTTAAAGGGTTTTTTTTTTCATTGTTAGCTTTTTCTACTTTTTTGATAGTGACTTTGCAATGTCACTATCAAAACCGGAAAGTAGTAAATCTATAAAAAGGAAGATTGAAGACAAGCACCGTGTTTTCCAGGACAAATGGGAACTGTATCATCAACTGAAAGGCAAGATTAACCACTGACTATACTTGTTTTTATTTCAACAAAACAAGTGATGTATCATACACAACATTTAAAAGTACCTTAAATTTATATTTAAATTTAAAATTCATAGAACCATAGAACACTAGGACTGGAAGGGACCTCGAGAGGTCGTCGAGTCCAGTCCCCTGCCCTCATGGCAAGACCCAGTACTGTCTAGACCATCCCTGATAGACATTTATCTAGCCTACTCTTAAATATCTCCACAGATGGAGATTCCACAACCTCCTTGGGCAATTTATTCCAGTGTTTGACCAGCCTGACAGTTAGGAACTTTTTCCTAATGTCTAACCTAAAGCTCCCTTGCTTCAGTTTAAGACCATTGCTTCTTGTTCTATCCTCAAAGGCCAAGATGAACAAGTTTTCTCCCTCCTCCTTATGACACCCTTTTAGATACCTGAAAACTGCGATCATGTCCCCTCTCATATTAAAATTAATTTAATATGAACAAAAAACCATTTTACACATAAAATTATTGCAAGATTATAAAATAGATAAAATGTAATCTATAATAAATAGCCAACTTTCCAACAAAGTCCCCCCCCCCTTTTTTTTTTGGTATTATAACCAGGTGGGAACTTGAGGCAGCCCTGTGAGCTATCAGTTTTCACTTGTGTGGTCCTCAGTAGGCTTCGAGTTTGACATTCCTGGTGCACACCATGCCCAATTGGCCTGTGGAACTCATTGTCACAAGATTTTGCTGGTGCTTAGCAGAACTCCTAAAAGGGACAGAGTTAGGATACATGTTCAAGGGAAAAGGCCTGTGTAAGGACTTTAAACCATCATGCTTTGAAATGCAACCCCATAGCTTTCAACAAGGGGGGGAGAGAGGCTAGAGTGACTTTTATCTGTGGGGAGGGGGCAGCTGCTCCCACCACTGCAGCGTTTATTGCATGTGAAGCAGCTGGGACTGACCACAGTTTGAATCAGGATGTTGAGTTAGACCCCCCCCCACACACACACACACACACACACTCCTGCCTGCTCAGTGTTAGTGCCTGGAAACTCCTCCCCATCCCCATCCTTGTGGGTTTCTCTTTTTGGTGACCTTGGCAGATTTGCCTTCCTGCCAGTGTTCCCCTTATAAGCCCTTGGTCCTGGCAATCTGCTCAGGATCCGGCACTGCCCTGAGATTCTTCCACAACTACCTGGGGGTAAGTGTGGCCGCCTGTGTATCACGGGGAGACTGGCCCTTTAAGAGGGCGCAGGATTCCTCCTGGAGAGCAGGGGAATCCATCACATGGGCTCCGGAACCCCACTCCTTAAAGGGCCGGTTGCCTGGTGATTCCCACATCCTCGGTTCCAGCCTTTGGAGAGCCTGTCATGGCCAGGGCTGCAGATGCTGGGGAGGGGGTGGGGGGCATGGCGGCCCTCACAGTCTAGACCAGGCCAGTGGAGATGAGAGCAGAGCAGCAGAAGAGCCCCTGGCTGGGGACTCTCCCTCCTTCCTCCGCTGTGAGCTCTTCCCACGCCAACAGGAGCAGAGCCGCAGCGGGAATGGCAGCCCCTCGCCGTCTCAAGCCCCTGCACCACGTGGCGGTGAGCGGGGGCACCCACGGCAACGAGATGTCGGGCGTCTACCTGGTCAAGCACTGGCTGCGGGACCGGCAGCTTTGCCGCCACCCCTTTCCTGAGCAACCTGCGTGCCGTTGAGAAGTGTGTGCGCTACGTGGGGCGGGACCTGAACCGCACCTTCACCGCCGAGTTCCTCAGGTGAGTTGTCCCAGCATGCACTGCTCTGCACTGGTCTCTGGAGGAGTGGGGGAGCTGTCCCAGCATGCACTACTCTGCACTGGTCTCTGGGGGAGTGGGGGAGCTGTCCCAGCATGCACTAAGCTGTCCCAGCATGCACTGCTCTGCACTGGTCCCTGCGGGAGTGGGGGAGATGTCCCACCATGCACTGCTCTGCACTGGTCACTGGGAAGAGTGGAAGGAGCTGTCCCAGCATGCACTGCTCTGCACTGGTTGCTGGGAAGAGTGGGGGGAGTTGTCCCAGCATGCACTGCTCTGCACTGGTCCCTGGGGAGAGTGGGGGGAGTTGTCCCAGCATGCACTGCTCTGCACTGGTCTCTGGAGGAGTGGGGGGAGCTATCCCGGCATGCACTGCCCTGCACTGGTGCTCAGGGAGTGAGCAAACTTATCCCATCACTGTGCATCAGTTCCCAAGACTGGGAGGAGTTACCCTCCTCTGCATCACTCTGCAATTCTACCCCGGGGGGTGGTGGGAAGCTCAGGGAACTCCATAAGCTGGAGCTTCATAGCCTACCAGAGAGCACCCTGTGGGGTGACTGAACACATGTCCCTTAGCAGTGAATAGGTTTCTTGTCGCACTGTGCCCCTCATGGGACCCCTCTTCTCTCACCTTACTGCCCCCTGGGATCCTGTCCCAGGGACCCTCCATCCCTCACACTGACCCCCCTGGAACCTCTTTCCCACCCTGTGAGTGGGGCCATCAATGTGAGCTGGAGGGGGGCAGGCTCCCAGCAGCAGGGGAAGAGGGGGGCCTCAGTGGCTTCATGTGACTCGTCTCCCCCTGTCCCAGCTCCGCGGAGACAGAGGATGAGCCCTACGAGGTGGGCCGGGCCCGTGAGATCAACCAGACCTATGGCCCCAAGGGCTCTGCCCAGGCCTTTGACTTCATGTTTGACCTGCACAACACCACGGCCAACATGGGCACCTGCCTCATCATGGACTCCGAGGAGAGCCTGCTGCCCATGCACATGTGCCACTACATCCAGGTGGGGCCAGCCCCCATCCCCGTGCTAGCCTTGTGCTGGGCCAGGGTCCCCTCCCCTCCTCACCCTGCCCTCTCTCTCCCCCAGACTCACTACACACAGAGCTCCTGCCCCATCTACCTCTACAAATTGCCAGGCGAGGAGAGTTACTCCATCGACTCTGTGGCCAAGACCGGGCTAGGTAGGGAAGGGGCACTGCCGGGGGGCAGGGAGGCCTTGCAGAGTGAGTGGGCCTGGCCCGGGGCAGGGAACAGCATTGCTCAGCCACCCCCCAGAGCCCATCCTCCCATGCCCCCCTGGCATGGAGCACTGCTCTCCCCACCCCTTCCTAGGCCATGTCAACACCCCACCACCATTCCAACAGTTTCATGTCCCCTGCCCTCCCTTAAGCCTCACCTATCCATCCCAAGCCTGGCCCCCACTCCAAACCCTGCCCTTTCCTCTCCATCCTTGAATCACTTACCCCAAGCCTCTGCTCCCCCCACCTTTCCCCAGTTCCCTCTCTTCCCCTCATCTCTGTTACTCCCCTTCTCCTGGGCCAGGAAAAGCACTTTGTGGCTGTGATTCCAGATCCCAAGGGTTCAGTCGTGGGTATGTTGGCACAGGTGCTGTCACTAGACTGTAGCTGTCCTTCCTGGCTCGTTCAGTCCACACCCCTGGGCTGTGTCTACATTGGCACCCTTTTCTGGAAAAGGGATGCTAATGAGACCAGTCGGAATTGCAAATGCCCCATGGATTTAAATTTTCCCCGCGGCATTTGCATGAACATGGCTGCTGCTTTTTTCCGCCTCGGGGCTTTGCCAGAGAAAAGTGCCAGTCTAGACATGGATCTTTCGGAAAATAAAGCCTTTTCCGAAAGGTCCCTTATTCCTGATTTTAAGAGGAATAAGGGACCTTTCGAAAAAGGCTTTATTTTCCGAAAGATCCCGTCTAGACTGGTGCTTTTCTCCGGCAAAGCCCCAGGCTGGAAAAAAGTGGCAGCCATGTTTATACAAATGCAACGGGGGATATTAAAATCCCCTGCTGCATTTGCAATTCCAACTTGTCTCATCTGCATCCCTTTTCCGGAAAAGGGGTGCTGTGCAGACACAGCCCTGCTGAGGCAAGCAACCAGCTCCCAATCTCATCAAGCTCCATCTTACCCCTAATTAACTCCTTTCTCAGCAAGCATGTTTATTCCTACGGTGAACACACGACAGAGAAAACCCAGTAAAGCAAAAAAGTCTGCACATCTGCTACGAAGCCATCCTCCGATTCCTGCCGCTGCTCCGGGGAAACCCCTTTGCTTGAAAAGTCTTGCCTGGCCCACCACATCCAATAATCCTTTTAAGCTCCTAACGTGTCCCAGGATTTACATGAGTCCCACCCTGCCAAGAGACATTCCCTCCTGTCCGTCAGTATCACATGAACGTCGGCATTGTCCATACTGCCAACACCTAATGTGCTTAACCGTATCGAATTAAATTAAACTTCCTCAAATGAAGGTTTGTTCAGGTTACGGCAGGGAATGGCCCTACACACAACCTCTCATTTAGGAGGCTGGTCCATTTCCTTCCTGCTCTGGTTTGTAGAACCAACCTTTCCTTTCCAGTCTATGTTTATTCATGGCTGAAACAAAAGACAGAACTATGTAGCACTTTATAGACTTACAAGATGGTTTATTAGATGATGAGCTTTCGTGGTCCAGACCCACTTCCTCAGATCAAATTGTGGAAGAAAATTGGCACAACCATATATACCAAAGGGATACAATCAAAAAAATGTGAACAGATATAAAATTGACAAATCAGATTGTAGAACAGAGGGGAGCTGAGGGGGGGAGGTTAGTGTCTATGAGATAATGATATTGGGGTGATAATTGGGGAAGCTATCTTTGTAATGGGTAAGGTAGTTAGCATCTCTGTTAAGGCCCATTCGTAAAGTGTCAAATTTAAGTATGAATGACAGTTCTGAGGTTTCCTTTTCGGTGATTCCCCTTTGTTCCTTTGCTGGCGGTGCTTCAGCTTTGCTGGCTTTCCCCTCCCAGGTGTTTGCTCCCGAATGTGGCTCAAGTTTTGCCCACTTTTGGGACTGAACCAGGCTCAGCGTGCCAAGCTCGCACGCTCCTGCCTGAGCTCATTTGGGCACCTTCAGAGTAGGGGTGGGTTTCAGGTTGCCTCAGTTGGGTGGCAGAGGTAGGGATGGTCACCGCAGCTGCTGCATCCCTGTCCAGTTTAGTTGCTGCTGTGCCTTGCATGGGGGCACCTGGGCGCAGCCCAGGCCAGGTCTGTGAGGTGGTGGCTGGGAGTGGGTCAGATGACAGGACACTAGGATGGTTTGTCAGCAGGGAGCTGGGGCCTGGCTGTGATTGAGGGAGGTGATGGGTGCTGCTGTCGCCCCCGCCCCCCAGGCACGCTCCCAGGGGTGGCGAGGGGCGTTTGGGGGCACTCCTGGGTCTCTCTGGTCTCCCTGCAGCACTGGAACTGGGACCGCAGCCTCAGGGAGTGTTGAAAGCCAACCTGTTCGCTGAGATGAGAGCCCTCATGGCCTGCGCACTGGACTTCATCGAACTCTTTAACACCGGTGAGTTATCCCCACGGGGCAAGAGCTTGCCCGTCGGGCAGCACCCTGAAGGTGTCCCTGGGATGCACTGAGCTATCCCATCATGCCTTGCTCTGCAATGACCCAGGAGGTGGGGTGAGAGCCCCCCTCCTATATCAGTACTTTGAAGGGGGCACCTTCCCCTTCAGCCACAGCAAATGGGCCACCCCTGGGGGGAGCCTGTGATTAATGGGGGGAAGGGCAGCCTCCCCATTCTGAGCCCCCTTTGCCCCATAGGTACAGTGTTCCCGGCCTTTAAGACTGAAGCCTACAAGATCACTGGGCGCGTGGACTATCCCCGCTACCCCGACGGGGAGATCTCAGCCATGGTGCACCCCAAGCTGCAGGTAGGTGGGGGCTGGGAATAGGGCGGTCCTAGCCTCTCCTCTATTGCTCACTCAGGGAGGGAGGGAGGGATCCTGACCCCTGCCAAGCCAGCCTGGCAACGACACGGACTGACTCACCAGCCCGCAGGCTCCCTCAGCTCATCTCTGAATTCTGCACAGAGCAAGGGGCTGGTGGCTTGAAACTACCTCTGTGCTCCCTGCATTGTGGGCTGGGCGCCTGTGGGAGTTAGAGCAGCCCAAAGGCTGCTCTGGGCTACTCTCTGCTCTCCCTGGACCTGAGGGGCAGAGACTAGCCAGAGCACAATGTGGCCCCATCCCCATAGTCTGCCCCAAGCTGGAAGCAGGGCTCTAGTGCAGCTGGGACATCTCTGCTCCTGTTTCCACTACCGAGCAGCACAAAGACCTGGATCCCACAGACTCAGCCATGGCAAGGCCAGGCCAGAGCTCAGAGGGGAGAAACTGGGTTTATTATGGGATGTGTGGGGCTGATTCCCTTATCTTGGTCACGCAGCCCACAGGCTCAAGGGAACCGGACAGCCGGGAGAGGAGTGGGAGTGGGCTCAGATCACAGGGCGCTGTAACCTGAACGGGATCTCGCCCCGTGTCTCATTGCGCGTTCAGTTACCAGATTGCAATTCCAGGACAGTGAAGATCCTGGCCTCTCCTAGCAGGGGGCGCTGCAGGGAGCAGGCTGGGTGGGAGGCGGGAGGGGCTACCAGCTACTCCATCCCTAGCCTCTCCCCAACCTGTTCCACCCTTAGGATAAGGATTTCTTCCCCTTGAATCCCGAGGACCCGATCTTCCAGCCCTTCAGCGGGGAGGAGATCCTGTACGAGGGCGACTCCACCATCTACCCGGCCTTCATCAACGAGGCCGCCTACTATGAGAAGAAGGTGGCCTTTGTCAAGATGGAGAAGCGCACGTTCTCCATCCCCGGCCTGCAGCGAGAATGAGCCCGGGGCTAGGCAGGCCATGGGCCGAGCGGGAATAAACAGAGATGGAACGGATCAGAGCGCGTGTGCCATGCGGGATGGGCGTTACCAGGAAGGCATCGCCCTTGTGCTGCGATGGACAGGCGGGGCTGGGCATTGAGGCAGGGCCAAAGGTGGGGGTGGGAGGCGTCATTAGCCCCCTCGGGTGTCTCACAGCCAAGCCCAGAACTGGGCGATGATGGAGGCCAGTTTCAGCCTGCTAGGGGGAAGCAGAAGAGGCTGAGGGTGGCGTGGGATGTCTCTGTCGCAAGGAGGAGGACTTAGCTTCCAGCTCCCCCCGGTAGCGAGATCTAGGCTTTTGTTTTCTTCACACACACACACACACACACACACACACATTTCTTCACACACACACACACACACACACACACACACACACACTCTTACTCTTTCTCTCTCCCCCTCTCCATAATCCCAAGTGCCCCCTGGTGTCGCCTAGGCTCCTGTCCGGCCGCAAGCTTGAGCGGCAGAGCCCGCTTTGGACTCAGGGTTTATCTCCCAGTCAGCAGCAGGAGCAGCTGGGGCCAGTAGCAGGGAAAGGGCCCTTCTGTGGGCAAAGCTGCTCCCCCCCCCCCCCAGCCCTGGGGTTTAGCTTTAGAGAAGTCAGAGGCCAGGGTTGAAGGTTAGCCCTGCACTATCTGCCTGATGGCTCCGCAGGGAGCATGGTGGGAAGGGTCCTTGATCAGTACTGCCGAGGTAGCATCTGCCAGCAGGAGACATGGGGCAGCTCTTCCTGGTGAGGGGCCTGAAGTGGGCTAGACAGAAAATTGGGGCCTCTGTTCCCTCATCACCATGATGCCCTGCCCCTGTCTGTTCCTCCTCAGGGGGCCCCACCTCCTCCTCTCCACTCCCAGACCCTGCCCCCTGGTCAGTGGACCATGGGTCAGTCCTGGCCATTGTGAGGAGAACCAGCCCCCCCCCCCACACACACACCTTGCCCCAGGTAGCGCACCCCGGTGGGCAGGGACAGGGGCTGGGGGCTGCCCTTGGGCTCTCTCGGCCCCTCACAAGGGCTTACTGCCGTGTTGCTGCTGGAGCGTCCCGTAGCCACTGCTCTTCCACTGACTGCCGTGCAAACCAAGCTTTGACACACCGGATTCCTGCCCATGCAGACGATGTTGCGGAAATCGGGCCCGTGCAGCCCAGAGCGGTCACTGCTTCCCACCACAGAATAGGTCCAAGGGATAGGGCCCCCTATAGCCCCAGTCTGACTCAGCATGGCCTAGGCTCGATGATTTTTCCAGGGTCGCAGGTGAGGCTGACCGGTCTGTAGTTACATGGACCCTCCTTCTTCCTCTTTTTAAAAGATGGGCGCCACATTTGCCTTTTTCCACTCGCCCAGCACCTTCCCCAATTGCCACAAGAATAATGGCCAAGGTCTCTGCAATCGCATCCTCCAACTCCTCAGATGCATTAGGCTTGTATGCATCCAGCTTTTCTAAATGGTCCTTAACCTGTTCTTTCACTACCGAGGGCTGCTCACCTCCTCCCCAGACTGAGCTGCCCTGTGCAGCAGTCTGAGAGCTGACCTTGTCCGAGAAGACAGGGAAAAACAAGCATTGAGTACTTCAGCTTTTCCCACATCATCAGTCACTAGGGGTATGTCTACACTACCCCCCTAGTTCGAACTAGGGGATTTGTATCACTTGACCCAGCTGCTGCCCACCTCCACCAGCCCCTCTGGGAGCTGCCAGCTCCCCAGCAGCCAGAAGAGCTCACATGCCCTGGATGCTGGCAGAGGGGCCTGGAGATCCGGTGGGTAGTTGGGGAGAGGGTGTGGGGAAAAGGGAACTGATTGGGGGGAGAGGCCACCCATGGTGGTCAGAGCAGGGTGTGGGTAAAAGGGGGGTTGGTTGGGGTGTACATGCATTAAAATTACTGCTGTGTGCACTGTTCCTAACAGATGTCCCAAAAGCCAATAGCTGGACTTAGCAGAGGAGTTTAGACTAGACAGTGTTACACTAAATTGGTTTCTTGGCACAGTGTTGGGCAAGAAGAACATAATAAATGCATTTTCGACGAGAAAGTGCTTCTACATTGAGTAGTGTGCTTCCCAGTGACCTGGTAACAGACCAGCCCATTGTAGAGGCTGTAGGGCTGAAATGATCTGCACAGCTCCTGTTGACGGCAGATCATTTCCCAAAAGAAGATTCCTGCTCGCGGAGCTTGCTGCTTGTCAGGTAAAGTCAACTTCTTCAGGTATTGCTTCCCTTTGTCTTTAACCTGTACAGAGTCCCTGAAGGGTTTGAGGTGTTAGTGATAGGGAATCGAGCTGTTACTGGCCCAGAACCAGGAACAGGCAGGGGTCTCTAAAAGCCAGCTCACCATAACACTAGCTCTGCCTTGTCCCCATCCCCCCGCCCACACACACACACACGCTGTTGCCTCTATCAGAGACGGCAGGGGGGGCAGTGGAGGCTGCTCTGTGGATGCCAGTACAGCCTCTGTCCATGGAGAGCTCAGGCCGCCTATGGACAGAGCCTGTTGCTGCCTAGGGAGCTGGTCTGTGCGGTGAGCTGGTTTTTAAACTGGCTTCCTTCGTGGACCAGCTCCCACCTGCCATCCTGCAGAGGCAGCAATGCGGATTGGCAGGAGGCTCCCTGGGAGTGGGGCTGGAGCACACTGGCTGCCAGTACTGGCCCTGGGGACTACTGAGTAGTCGTGCAACCACTAAATGCGATGTGGTTGCACGACTGTTCAATTACACACTAACATCCCTACTAATCAATGCTCATAATTTAAAAAAGAAAGAAAGAAAGAAAGAAAGAAAGAAAGAAAGAAAGAAAGAAAGAAAGAAAGAACCCAAAAATGTTGTCTTGAACCACTATGAAGGTGTGTTCTGCAGAGTTCCCAATGGAGTTCTGCCAAGGCACTTCGGTCATGATCTAGAAATAACTTCTTGCAAAGCCAGTGTGATCCCCACACAGATTTACTTGTGTGTCAGCTCCTGACTGGATACACCCCAAACACCTATTCGAGCCCTAGGCCTCAAAGAATAGCAATCCTTTCCAGAAGTGGAGTAATTTAAAAGGGATAATTAAATCACTATTAGACAGGCTATTGGTGTTTAATTATGCATTCACAATGTGTTCCCAGTATGCAATGTTAAAGTTCCCTCTGCTACCAGTGCTAAGGTGAAGTTTCTGCCATCTACCCCAATGAACCAAGGCCCATTGCAGCTTTCCTTATGTTGATCCTGTTGCATAAAAGCCTCCACCCGGGCTATTACTTGATTTTACATATGGGCTACCTCTACACTGCAGGCTTCTTGCGCAAGAACTGTTTTGCCCAGTGTAAAAGGTCTTGCGCAAGAGAGCATCCACCCTGCCATGTGCTTTTGCGCAAGAGCGTCCATGGCAGTGTGGATGCTCTCTTGCGCAAGAAAGCTCTGATGGCCATTTTAGCCATAGGGGTTTCTTGCGCAAGAAACTCCTGTCACCTACCCATACTGCCTTCTTGGGCAAGAGGGTTTATTCCTTGTAGGGAGAGGAATAACTCTTACACAAGAAGCCCTCTGTTCCGACATTTTAATATAAATTTAATTGCGCAAGAACGTGCATGAAGTGTAGACGCCCCGCAAGTTTTTCTTGCGCAAAAAGCCTGCAGTATAGATGTAGCCATGGATTTTCTGGAAATTCATGTGTTGGTTGGACCTTACAGTTTAATGTCTTAGGGTATGTCTACACTACAAAGTTAATTCGAACTAACAGACGTTAGTTTGAACTAACTTTGATAGGCGCTACACTAGCGTTCTGCTAGTTCGAACTTAATTCGAACTAACGGAGCGCTTAATTCGAACTAGGAAAACCTCATTTTACGAGGATTAAGCCTAGTTCGAATTAGTTAGTTCGAATTAAGGGCTGTGTAGCCCCTTAATTCGAACTAGTGGGAAGCTAGCCCTCCCCAGCTTTCCCTGGTGGCCACTCTGGCCAACACCAGGGAAACTCGTATACCCCCCTCCCGGCCCCGGACCTCTTAAAGGGGCACGGGCTGGCTACGGTGCCCGTGCCAGGTGCAAGCCTGCCAGCACTCAGCCA